TAACCCAGCGCTGGGTTATATTTAACCTAGCATTTTTTAGAGTGTAATGGATCTCTCAGTCTTTTTTGTTCTAAAATATACAAGTTACGTAGTGCCACAGTCATGCTGAGGTCAAGAAAAGTGGATTTTACTCACAGCCAATCATCATCATGGCCACGGCGAAGATCTTCTCTCCATCCGTTGTGGGGGCTATGTTCCCGAAGCCAATACTGGTCAGGCTGGTCATGGTGAAGTACAATGACGTGATGTAGACCGAATCTTTGCTTGGACCCCCTTCCCACTTTCCTGTGCCACTGGCATTGAAGCGATATGGTGTGCCGACGGATTCTCCCAGAAGATAGAGCCAGCTGTCCCTACGGACCATGTTGTTTGCTTCATCTATGACCTCATAGTCTCCAATGCTGTACCAGATACAGGCCAGCCAGTGGGCAGCCAGGCCGAACACACAAACCAGCAACAGCAGCACCGCCGCACCGTATTCAATGTAATGATCCAGTTTACGGGCCACACGGCCGAGTCGCAACAAACGCACCACCTTCAGAGAGCTGAAGAGGCTGCTGATGCCCTGCAAGAAATGAGAGAAGTGGTTAATTAATAATTTATCTTTAGAAGATGTTTTACCCATAGTGACTTACAATACAGGCCACTTATTATAGCCAGTCCTAAAATGGTCTTATAACGACTGTGCAATTTCAGCAATCTTATAAGATAATCTTTCAGACAAATCCAGTCGGAGTTAGATTAAAAATTGTCCTGGCTACTCCAAGCTCTATCATTGCAGTCAGCGGGTGTTGCAGTGCTTCAGTCCCAAAGAAGTGAAATAAAAAGTGCCCATCCATAAAAAAAAATGTCTCACACGGCTCCGGGGGGTGAAAAAAGGCCTCCTGTAGCATTTTTGTAAGAAAAATATCCATATTCAAAATATAATAATCACTTTAATCTAGCTTGCGCTCACTGTTGTAAACGGAAGCAGTTCCGGGCGGATGACGTATGAGGTCAGCGCTGCGCATGTGCCGCTCAGAAGTGACAAACGCGGAAATGCAGCGGAGAGATCAAAACAAAACAACGGTCACTAATTAGAAGTACAAAACGAGTATTTGTAAAGAAGAATGTCAGAGGATTTCGATATAAGCCAAGAGGAGACTGGTTTTCCTTTGCTAAAGGAAACTTTGCTTCCTTTGATCCTGTAAACAAACATTGGTTTTCACGAGACTCACCAGCGCATGCGCAGCGCTGAACTCATACGTCATCCGCCCGGAGCTGCTTCCGTGTACAACTGTTGGCGCAAGCTACATTAAAGTGATTATTACGTTTTGAATATGGATATTTTTTTTACAAAAACGCATCGATTCGCTACAGGAGGCCTTTGTTCACCCCCCGGAGCCGTGTGAGATGCTTTTTTTAATGGATGGGCGTTTTTTATTTAACTTCTTTTGGACTGATGCATGCAACACCCGCTGAGTGGCATTAAACAGCTTGAAAGAGCATAGACAATTTTTAATATAACTCCGACTGGATTCGTCTGAAAGAAGAAAGTCATACACCTAGGATGGCTCTGGGGTGAGTAAAACACAGCCTAATTTTCATTTTAGGGTGAACTAACCCTTTAAAGCACACTGTGCGACATGTCAACTTATTCTACTCTAAACCTAAATTTTAATTTCAGTTTTCATTTTCATTAGCCTCATTACCCTGCAGAAGCACCTTAACCCTTTATCGCAGTGGCTGGGCTTTAACTGTATTCTGCTAGCAGCATTAGCAAAAAAAAAGCATGGATAACTGATGTTGACGTGCCCAGCACAGGCGTCCTCTGCTGCTACTGTGGGAAACAGGACTGTGTGTGTGTGTGTGTGTGTGTGTGTGTGTGTGTAAACTCTGTAATCTCTTGCTCTGACACTCCTGTTCCGCTGCAGGCTCTGCTACTGCGGCCTGACAGCTACGTAAAGCCCCGTAGTACTGTGCTTAAGTGGTGACATGACATTGCTAAAAAAGAACATTATTTTTGTGTATTTGGTGTAATGAAATGTGTTTATGCGTTTTAAGTTTCAAAAACACATTGTTTTCCACATACTGTACATTATTGTTTCTCCTCTATGCCCCGCCTTTCTGAAACGAGTCAATTTTTACAAAGCTCATCAGTCTGAAAAGCTAGGTGTGCTCTGATTGGCCAGCTATCCAGTGCGTTGTGATTGGCTGAATACCTCAAGCGTGTGACAGAAATGTTACGCCCCTTACCATACTGTGAT